GAGCTGCAGCTAGCCAGAGATGTTAAGAGTAACAAAAAGGGTTTCTTCAGGTATGTTGGCAACAAGAAGAAAGCCAAGGGAAGTGTGGGCCCCTTACTGAATGAGGGAGGCAACCTAGTGACAGAGGATGTGGAAAAAGCTAATGTACTCAATGCTTTTTTTGCCTCTGTTTTCACTAACAAGGTCAGCTCCCAGACTGCTGCGCTGGGCATCACAAAATGGGGAAGAGATGGCCAGCCCTCTGTGGAGATAGAGGTGGTTAGGGACTATTTAGAAAAGCTGGACGTGCACAAGTCCATGGGGCTGGACGAGTTGCATCCGAGAGTGCTGAAGGAATTGGCGGCTGTGATTGCAGAGCCATTGGCCATTATCTTTGAAAACTCGTGGCGAACCGGGGAAGTCCCGGATGACTGGAAAAAGGCTAATGTAGTGCCAATCTTTAAAAAAGGGAAGAAGGAGGATCCTGGGAACTACAGGCCAGTCAGCCTCACCTCAGTCCCTGGAAAAATCATGGAGCAGGTCCTCAAAGAATCAATCCTGAAGCACTTGCATGAGAGGAAAGTGATCAGGAACAGCCAGCATGGATTCACCAAGGGAAGGTCATGCCTGACTAATCTAATCGCCTTTTATGATGAGATTACTGGTTCTGTGGATGAAGGGAAAGCAGTGGATGTATTGTATCTTGACTTTAGCAAAGCTTTTGACACGGTCTCCCACAGTATTCTTGTCAGCAAGTTAAGGAAGTATGGGCTGGATGAATGCACTATAAGGTGGGTAGAAAGCTGGCTAGATTGTCGGGCTCAATGGGTAGTGATCAATGGCTCCATGTCTAGTTGGCAGCCGGTATCAAGTGGAGTGCCCCAAGGGTCGGTCCTGGGGCCAGTTTTGTTCAATATCTTCATAAATGATCTGGAGGATGGTGTGGATTGCACTCTCAGCAAATTTGCGGATGATACTAAACTGGGAGGAGTGGTAGATACGCTGGAGGGGAGGGATAGGATACAGAAGGACCTAGACAAATTGGAGGATTGGGCCAAAAGAAATCTGATGAGGTTCAATAAGGATAAGTGCAGGGTCCTGCACTTAGGACGGAAGAACCCAATGCACAGCTACAGACTAGGGACCGAATGGCTAGGCAGCAGTTCTGCGGAAAAGGACCTAGGGGTGACAGTGGACGAGAAGCTGGATATGAGTCAGCAGTGTGCCCTTGTTGCCAAGAAGGCCAATGGCATTTTGGGATGTATAAGTAGGGACATAGCGAGCAGATCGAGGGACGTGATCGTTCCCCTCTATTCGACATTGGTGAGGCCTCATCTGGAGTACTGTGTCCAGTTTTGGGCCCCACACTACAAGAAGGATGTGGATAAATTGGAGAGAGTCCAGCGAAGGGCAACAAAAATGATTAGGGGTCTAGAACACATGACTTATGAGGAGAGGCTGAGGGAGCTGGGATTGTTTAGCCTGCAGAAGAGAAGAATGAGGGGGATTTGATAGCTGCTTTCAACTACCTGAAAGGGGGTTCCAAAGAGGATGGCTCTAGACTGTTCTCAATGGTAGCAGATGACAGAACGAGGAGTAATGGTCTCAAGTTGCAGTGGGGGAGGTTTAGATTGGATATTAGGAAAAACTTTTTCACTAGGAGGGTGGTGAAACACTGGAATGCGTTACCTAGGGAGGTGGTAGAATCTCCTTCCTTAGAGGTTTTTAAGGTCAGGCTTGACAAAGCCCTGGCTGGGATGATTTAACTGGGAATTGGTCCTGCTTCGAGCAGGGGGTTGGACTAGATGACCTTCTGGGGTCCCTTCCAACCCTGATATTCTATGATTCTATGTACAACACATGCAACTCATGCCTGTAACATGCTTATAGCATATATTAATTATGTATTACCCTATATGAACTATAATTATAGCCTTTATATAAAGTGTGGGCATTTAGTGTCTGTCAAATATTGGTCCAGGAAAGATTAACATGATAATTATGACAGAATCCTGCATCCATGTAAGAGGATATGTCTATACTCTTGTCTTAGCCCATGCTCCGACAATGTTTTTGCCCAAACCCCTACCGTCCACACACACAAAACCCGCAAGCATTTGCTTCCTTGTGCTTTGCTTGGTTGCATGGCTAGGGGCGTGGGTTAAAACCTGAACCCATCTGCTTTGCAGTGAGGATGCAGGCAAGATCATTCAAGTGCTGATAGTCCTCCAGGGCCTTCCCACAATTCTTCTTCACAAGTCTTCCCCCAAAATTCTTATGAGATGTCTCCAGTGAAAGTGTGGCTGGCTGCCACATCCCTTCAAAGACAGCCTACGAGGCTCTCCATCTACAGTTTACATCACTGTCTCATGAGGACCACACAGCTGTATGTTCTTTCTGCTCCCACCCAACTTTACCTGCAGCTTTCTACATGTTGCTCCTTGTCCTGCAGCCTAGTGTCCTACCTTCTCCTTCCCAAAGCCGCAGCAAAGGTCTCTTCCTCTTTCTCCCATAGGGGCATGAAACCAGCACACTCTCGTCTTCACCTAGGAACACAGGAATTGCCAGACTGCACCAGACCCATGGTCCACGTCTACCAGAATCGTTAAAGTAGCCAGGACCATATACTTCAAAGGAAGCTGTGCGCTACCTCATGTTACACAGACGTGGTGTAATCTGCCCTCTACTTTAGGTCTCCTCCTCCTTCCTCATAACAAGGAATTGACTTGAACTGTGAAGCACGGGCCTTAATATCTCTCCTGTTATTTGTGGGCATTAACTATTTTAACTCTCAATATTCTTGTTATCTGTGTCAATGTCTAATCCTTTTCTGACTTGTGGCCTACTGCCATATTTTCCAGCTACTGCATGGTCCTTCCATGCCCACGGCTCAGCACTAGCTCCCTTATTCCTGCCTCCCTAGCCAGAGACATCTCGCCTGCTTTCCTCTCTCCTCTAGCTCCTTTCTCTTCCCCCTCCAGGTGCCTGCCTCTAGGTTCAGCCCTTCAGAGAGCCCACCTGCCTTTCTGTAGCTACCTAGAAAAACCCTGCTCTTCTTAGACGGCTTGTCTCCCTCCGCAGCAGCCGGCTACCTGTTCTGCAGGTTCCTTTATTTACCCAGTCAAATATTTGCAATGTGTTGACCCCTCCAGAAGCTGCAGCCAATGTCTCTTTTCCTGTCCTCCAGCAATGGCCTCCCCTTTTGCCCCCTCTTGCTCACACTCGGCCCCTTTTAGTCCAAGAGCTCTATGCTATAAACCCAGTAAAACCATGTCCACAGCACTGTTCCTTAAAAGCGGAGATACATTGCTATAGGGGCTGTCCTGCTCTGCTGGTCCTGACAGACTGTCCACATTAATGCCCATGCAAGCCCCCGTGAGGTTTTATGTGTTGGAAGGTGGGTGGGGAGTGTGGGGGAAAAGGAGACACCCTTCTGTTTTATATCTTTCTTCAGCTTCTCTATGGAGCCTTGAAAGGTTTCAAACCCCACAAACCTCCCCGCTCTGCTTAGTCTCAACCTGTTTAATTTATTTGATTAAAACCACATCGGTACCCGAGTCTGAAGCTACTTGTTTTCTTGTGGCAAAACCTTGGGATGATGATGATTGGCAGGTAGCCTATCAGACAGCAGCACAGACTTTCTTGCATTTCACCATCCTCCGCAGAGCTGTTACCTATCTAGCTAGGTACCTGTATGTCCCCGGTAACAGTAGTGTCTGCTTCCCGGTAGTTACGGTTTGAGCCTCACAACTCCCCAGGAGGTAAATAAGCATCATCCCCACTTTATAGGTAGGGAACAGAGACACCAAGAGATGAGGTGAGCAGCCCAAGATCACACAGAAGAGCCAGGAACTGAGCTCAGCTCACTTAGTCCCTACCTAGTGCCTTAGCGAAGAGGAGGGAACTGTTCTGATGCAGACAGAGAAATCCCACCAAGCTTGTGTCTGAAACTGAAGCCAAACCTTGGGGAGGGAAGATTTCTTTGTGGAAGGTTCTGCGCTTTGGGGGGTTGATTGGAACCTAACCTGGGGAAGCTTTGAGGGCTGAGAGCTACAACCATTATTAGAGAGAAAATCTCCTGTGTCATGACCTTAATTACCATGTGCCATATAGTGATTATCTTAATGACTAGAGCATTAAAAAATGCTTGGAGCTGAAGGATGGAGTTGTAATGAGATGGCAGCAAACTCTGATACTTTCTGAACTCTGCCAGTGATCTGTCTTCTTAATAAATAAAAGAGAAGAAAAGTTCTGTCAACCATTCTGTGACCAATATGTTAATATTCCAGGCACAGGCAGGGCCTGGTGAGATGTGGTGGATCTGAGATCTGGTGAGAGCAAGCAATGCCAGGATGGATTATTGGGTGCAGTGTGTGTGTGTGTGTATGTATGTGGTGTTTTTTAGCAGCTCTGCACTGCTGGCTCAATCACATCTACGCTGCTGACAGCATGCAGCAGTGTGACCCATTTCTGCGTGGGCAGCGTAAAAGAGGATTGATTTCTCCATGCCAGCTTATTGCTTAAAGTCTGGGCTTTTCATCTCTCTGGCAATCAGGATAAATTGTCTCTGTAATAACACTGTAGCAAGCTATTCTTTATTGAGGGAGGATGGTAGTGAGTATGCCTTCTGTTTGCATTAATTCTGACACGATTTACTGGTGCTTGCTGATCCATAAATTCCAAAATGGCAGGACCATCAAAGGTCAACACAGCAATAATATTAATGCCTATGGAAAAGGTTGACAGACTTCCAGGAGCAGGGCTGCTGCAGCTGGGGTTAGGGGGAGCTGCAGCGTGTGGAATGCTTTTCTCTTAGCTCATGGTTATAAATTAACTATGGTTCACTAGCCCATGAAGCAAGTGGTGGGCCCTCCCACCAAAATCTGTCAGTCAAACCTTAATTAACGGCACATGAGACGGGCAAGAACGAAGGTGGAGCAATCTCTTTTATACACGTGGGAAGCTTTTCCAGAACACACAATGCTGCTACTGTTAGGGCTTTTTAGAACACAAGCATTGCAGCTGCCGAGAGAATTTCAGGCTGTAACTGCTAAGAGCTGGCCCACGTGCAGAAAAGAAAGCAAAGGGGTTTGGTGTGGCAAAGTAAAGTGCATTGGAAGAATTATATCTGGAAGTTTGCAGTTCACTTCCAAGCCTTCAAAGAGCTTTACAAACCTGACTGAATGAACCCTCTTGGCTCCGTGTAAGCAGGTAATGACTATCTTCCTTTGTCTCCTGGGGAAATGGAGGCAGAGTGGGTAAGGCCAAGATTTTCAAAAAGGACAGGTGATTCTGAGTGCCACCATTTTGGGTGTCCACTTCAGGATGTCTTAAAGGGGCCTGAATTTCCGAAAGTGCTGACTAGTCCAAGGTGGCTGTACGCACACCACTGGATCACTCCTTTCTCATTATAACACAGATGTCCGTTAACCTTATGTAGCCTTCAGCTCCAAAACCCACAGATCTTTACCAGGTTAGCTAAAACAACAGATCAGCAGCTGGAACTGAAGACTGATATTCCATATTCCATTAGAAATAACTGCCTGAACTGTGTCTGACTCTTGTAAGTGTTGCTAGTCCAACATTTTCATGAGCACCAAATCCACCTACAAGTATATTGCATTGCTCATTCAATTAGAATGGGACAGTATATTCACAGTCTGTACAAATTTGATGCTAATGATTAAAACATACAGGCAACCAAAGCATATTTCGGTTGTCTGAAATAGTTACAAACTGTGATACACTGATATAATTCTGTTGATGAATTTTGCCACCAAAATTCAAAGATGGAATCTTTTTTGTATTGTCTTTCAAAATGTACATCATGGCAACAAATGACTTTTGCTCACTTAGAATTGGAAACACTTTTATTTACATTTCCTAGCCAGAAAAGTCATATTGCTGTTGATTTAATGCCATAGTAAAACGGCAGAGTATATCAGATCAGTATGGGGAGGCTGAAAATGGTATTAGGGTGAAAAATATATCCAGTTGCATGGTGTAGCACAGTAAACATGCCTAATACTGAATGCTGATCCAGTGGTTGTCTCCTTGGTGTTCTCTGCTGGCTAGATCGTCGGACTCAGTGGGTAGTGATCAATACCTCGATGTGTAGTTGGCAGCCAGTATCAAGCGGAGTGCCCCAGGGGTTGGTCCTGGGGCCGGTTTTGTTCATCTTCATTAATGATCTGGATGATGGGATGAATTGCACTCTCAACAAGTTCACGGATTACACTAAGCTGGGGGGAGAGGTAGATACACTGGAGGGTAGGGATAGGGTCCAGAGTGACCTAGACAAATTGGAGGATTGGGCCAAAAAAAATCTGATGAAGTTCAGCAGAGTCAAGTGCAGAGTCCTGCACTTAGGACGGAAGAATCCCCTGCACCGCTACAGGCTGGGCACCGACTGGCTAAGCGGCAGTTCTGCAGAAAAGGACCTGGGGATGACAGTGGACGAGAAGCTGGATATGAGTCAACAGTGTGCCCTTATTCCCAAGAAGGCCAATGGCACACTGGGCTTCATTAGTTGGAGCATTGTCAGCAGATCAAGGGACGTGATCATTCCCCTCTATTCGGCTCTGGTGAGGCCACATCTGGAGTACTGCATCCAGTTTTGGGCCCCACACTACAAGAAGAATGTGGACAAATTGGAGAGAGTCCATTTGAGGTCAAAGAAAATAATTAGGGGTCTGGGGCACATGAGTTATGAGGAGAGGCTGAGGGAACTGGCCTTATTTAGACTGCAGAAGAGAAGAGTGAGGGGGGGATTTGATAGCAGCCTTCAACTACCTGAAGGGGGGTTCCAAAGAGGCTGGAGCTCGGCTGTTCTCAGTGGTGGCAGATGACGGAACAAGGAGTAATGGTCTCAAGTTGCAGTGGGGGAGATCTAGGTTGGTATCATAAATATAAAGTGAAGGGTAACCACCTTTCTGTATACAGAACTATAAAATCCTTCCTGGCCAGAGGCAAAACCCTTTCACCTGTAAAGGGTTAAGAAGCTAAGATAACCTCACTGGCACCTGACCAAAATGACCAATGAGGAGGTAAGTTACGTTCAAAGCTGGAGGGGGGCGGGAACAAAGGGTCTGTCTGTCTGTGTGATGCTTTTGCCGGGACCAGGTCAGAAATGCTCTTCAGAACTTCTGTTAAGTTAGTAAGTACTCTAGCTAGAAATGTGTTAGATTTCCTTTTGTTAAATGGCTGGTAAAATAGGTTGTGCTGAATGGGATGTATATTCCTGTTTTTGTGTCTTTTTGTAACTTAAGGTTTTGCCTAGAGGGATTCTCTGTGTTTTGAATCTGATTACCCTGTAAGGTATTTACCATCCTGATTTTACAGAGGTGATTCTTTTACTTTTTCTTTAATTAAAATTCTTCTTTTAAGAACCTGATTGCTTTTTCATTGTTCTTAAGATCCAAGGGTTTGGGTCTGTGTTCACCTATGCAAATTGGTGAGGATTTTTATCAAGCCTTCCCCAGGAAAGGGGGTGTAGGGCTTGGGGGGATATTTTGGGGGAAGACGTCTCCAAGTGGGCTCTTTCCCTGTTCTTTGTTTAACATGCTTGGTGGTAGCAGCATAGGGTTCAAGGACAAGGCAAAGTTTGTACCTTGGTTAAGTTTTTAACCTAAACTGCTAAGAATAAGCTTAGGGGGTCTTTCATGCAAGTCCCCACATCTGTACCCTAGAGTTCAGAGTGGGGAAGGAACCTTGACATTTGGATATTAGGAAAAACTTTTTCACTAGGAGGCTGGTGAAGCACTGGAATGGGTTACCTAGGGAGGTGGTGGTATCTCCATCCTTAGAGGTTTTTAAGGCCTGGCTTGACAAAGCCATGGCTGGGATGATTTAGTTGGGGTTGGTCCTGCTTTGAGCAGGACTAGATGACCTCCTGAGGTCTCTTCCAACCCTAATCTTCTATGATTCATACAAAGGAGCTGGGTTACTCTTTAATTTGAGTATGCAGAGTGGGTTCAGTTCCCACGTCTGGGATTTTGTGCTTCAGTTAGAAGTGGCCAGGAACCATTGTGGGAAGGACGCCTTGCAGAAGTTTGGCAACACTTTTGGTTGATGTGGTGGAAGCACCTCAGATATGTAAAGGCAAGTTTGATCTCAGGAGCGGTATCTAGTGTTCCTTTCGGTAAAGGATGTAGTTTCTGAGTAGAATATAAACTCGGAGGTAGATAAAGTAGGGGATGTTCCAAAAAAGCCCCAAAACAGACTGAAATGTAGCTAAAACAGTTTCCTTCCATTTGTTATAAACATGGACTCATGCCGCTTTTATAGCATTGTATAAATACTTTCAAGTCAAGGCGCAGCAAATATTTACTAAGTTCTGATGACCTTCCTGTACTGTAATAAATAAATTACAGCATGAGCTCTGATAGAAGAAAGCGGAAAGAAGTAAGCATTTTGAGAGGGTCACTTAGTTGGGCACCTAAAGCTGATGATTGGTATCTAGAGGCTTTTAAAAATCACACTAGGCACCTATATGAATCTTTGAGAGCTGAAATACCATTGAAAACAGGCCCTTAGAACTTTACTATGTGGTCAGTAGCCGGTCATCTGTCCCAGAGACTTTCCTGCAAATGCATGGTCTAAAGCTCCGTTCCTTCTGAGTAAGTGTCAGAGCTTCTAGACCAGGTTCTCAAACTGTGGGTAGGACCCCAAAGTGGGTCACCACCCCATTTTAATGGGGTCGCCAAAGCTGGTGTTGGCCCTGGGCCCCAGCAAGTCTGAAGCCCAAGCCCCATTCCCCAGGGCTGAAGCCCATGCCCAAGCCCCACTGCCCAGGGCTAAGGTTACATGCCTCTTGCCCAGGGCAAAAGCCCTGGGGCTTCATATTTGGCCCCCTTCCTATGGCGGCAGGGCTCAGGCAGGCTTGGTCTTTGGTCCCCCCTCCTGGGGTCATGTAGTAATTTTTGTTGTCAGAAGGGGTCACGGTGCAATGACGTTTGAGAACCGCTGTTCTTGATTGAAGCAGGCAGGAGATTGAGAGGTATGTATTAAGGACCTTAAAAAATATAAATCTAAACTAGTTTTCCTTTCTGTTCCACACTGAGCTCTCTCATCCCCTGATCCCATTTACTCACCACTGCAGTCCTATCTTTTTCTCCTTTAAATTCTGCTTTGCAAAGTGTCTTATTTCCTATAACCAGTCCTTTGTATGATGGAATAAGCTACTTGTGTTTGATGTGTCCTCATTAAATACAGGGATGAAAGTAGGTTTATCTTTCAGTGATCCAGCCAGACTATTTCCCTTTCTGGCCCAGGAATAATAAACCTTAGGTATGTTAATATAGTGGAACTAGATGTCAATGAAAATCATTATTCACTTCATGCTGTTGGTAGGTCTGCTTTAAAAGAGAGTCAGTTCATTATTCAAAGCCACATTTTAACCAAGTGGATTTCAGTGAGGTTAAACTAGTCTCTCACAGAGAAATTTGGAAATGAAAATCGTAGGCTGCATATGCACCAAGTACAAATGTCTTATCTACTGAAGCACTCAATGTCTATGCTGTAATTATAGTGAATCAAATATGGGCAGCTTTGCAAGATATGGGCCAAAAATTGCATTTAGTTTTATTCAAGAGTGGTTTACAGCATAAATTATGACTAGCAAGGACTGTGGCTTCCTATGAAAAAAGGCTCCAGCAGTCTTGTAAAACAGCTTTAATTCTTATTCTAGTTCTCAGCTCAGTGTAAGCTACTGCAGTTGCATCTTATGTTAATTTTTTCCAAAACTGGACGGCCATCAAATAAATGATGCAGATTTTGGAATAATTTGTTCAGCTACTGTGACTTTTAGGTTTCCAGTTTTGTTCACTGAACAAATTCTTAATTATCTCAGGGCAATTGAAATGCTCTACAAATCTTTATGCCGTCAAAGTTATTTCTGTGAATAATGTACAAACTAATCTCCTGAGAGGCTATCTATATTTGAAAAATTTACTAATGGGTTGTCTTTTTCCCTTGCACATATGCTGATTTATAATTTACAGCAGCCTTTCAGTAGCGGTGCCTAATCCCTGAGCATCACAGCGAACAACATCACTCTGTGGAACGCAAGGCCTGGGCCCAGCAAATGTCTGGCTACGAAACTTCTGCTCCTTCATCTCCCTGTCCCCGTCCTCTCATTTCCCTCTCCATTGCTGTTATCTATGGATCTGTTAGCTGAGTATAAACCAGGTTTGCTCTGCCCATTAATACAACACTGTTCCCAAAATTAAACATTAAACATCCTACAGTATTTTCACTCCTGAATGGAGCCTCCAGAGAGGGTATTAGAAGATGATTTGTTAAGGGACCAAAACAACGGCTTGTTCCTGGGAGACTCTCAATATTTTTCCATGTTCTATTTTTTTCATTTGCCAGCAGCTGTCAAAATATTTTCATAAATATATTTCAACAAACCTAAGAGTGAAAAACAATCTAATTTCCCCTAATTAATGTAGCTCAGAAGGGCTATTATCCACTTAAACTCTTCCGACTAAGCCGTAAATGCTGCTGGAAGATAAATATTCTTATGAATATTTTTATTCTATGCCAGTGACTTTCAGCATTTTGCAAGGAGACGGAAAGAGTGGCTGCCGTTTCAAACACTTGCCAGCCAGTGCCACACTGTGGTGTCTGAGATGGGACAGTAATTGAATGCAACTGTAAGCAGTGTCAGGATGAGCTCCACCCTGACATCTGGTGGTGAGCTGTGGCAAGGCTCCACCCTGACATCTGGTGGTGAGGTGTGGCAAGTTGTGGAAAAGAACTTCAGGGGCCGATCTCATTTGCATAGGCACACCCACCCCGCCTAGAATGAGGCCATAACTGCCCAAATGGTCACTTTGGCTGCTGTGGGATCCCCAGCGTCTCTGTTATTGGGGCGGGAAGAATAAATTGTTATTACCCTGATTATGGGAACTCTGCTTGGAACTGTACTTGGCCTTTTGTTATGATGGAGGGACTCACCATCAACTAAGTAGCACTCGCTAGGCAAGGGTCATGGGTTTTAAAACTCTGTGACTGGAGAGAGGCTGGGGACAAGTATTAATACTGGGTGGCATGGGCCCCTTGGTGAGGGCCTTACATGCTAATTGCACTTCCTCCTCTCTCCACTGTGGAATCTCAGAGCTAATTTTGATTCCATTAGGAGTCTAGTTACAGGCTGCTGAGCTCACTTCGGGCTAATGGTGCACCAGCACTGAGGCTCCCCTACTGCAAGCTGAATTCACCAAAGAGCTGAACTGACTAAGAGCTGAAATCACTGAGCATTGTGTTAAGTAGTGGGGGAGCCTGAAGATATATTGTGGAGCAGTTTGTGGGACAGCTGGAGTGCCTTGTGGACAGGCTGGTGGAGCAGTTCGTAGGATGGTGGGAGCTGCTTGTGGGACGCGGAGCAGTTTGTGGACCCGGCTGGTGGAGCAGTTCGTGGGACGGTGGGAGCTGCTTGTGGGCCGCGGAGCGGAGCTGAGCGAAGGAATTCGTGGGGCGGCTGGCGGAGTGGAGCGGAGCGAAGCGAAGGCCTATGGAGCTGTGGGACGGTCAGCTTCAGATCATGTAAGGTGCCTCTTACCCCCGTCCCATCTCCACCCAGGTTGGGAGGTAAAGCTCTGCAGATAAACTTTCGAACTCTGGGGCTGCCCTGACCAGGGACAGAGACTTTTGGGTCATTGGACTTTTGGGACTTTGGGTGATTTGGGGTTGCTGGACTCAAGAACCAAAGGGAAAGGGGCATGCCCCAATTTGCTTGGGGTGGGTTTTTTTACTCATGGGTTGTGCTAGGAATCCTGTTGGTGGTGTTTCCCCAACATAATGCCACATTGTTTCTCTCTGTTATTAAAAGGCTTTTTGCTACACTCAGACTATGTGCTTGCGAGAGGGGAAGTATTTCCTCCTGGAGGCGCCCAGTGGGGGTGGTATATATTTGTCCCAGGTCACTGGGTGGGGGCTCGAGCCGTTTTGCATTGTGTTATTGGAATGGATCCCCTGGATATTGAACCCGGCCCTTGTTGCTGCCAACTCTGATGGGCAGAAGGGTTACATAACAATAAACATAATCTGCAATAAATTCTAAATCCTGCAATCCATCTCCGCCCATGTAACAAAAAATAGCCTACCAAAGAAATACCATGTCACCTACTACACGCATACCCTGCATGTTCTTCTTCTCCAAAGGCTTGGGAAAACACATGGGCTGTGTCGCAAGACACCAAAAGATTTCGCGGGAATTCCCTCTCCCTTTCAAATGAAGAGCCATAGCTGGTTGCCACTATGGTACTATGCCATACACAGTGAAGTGGTCTCTTAGTCAGGCGGATGCAATGTCATAATTGTCCCCTTTGTTTCCTTGTCTGTCACATTTGTCCAGCTGTGTCTCTTGTCTTGTACTTTGATCATAAACTCTGTGTGGGGCAGGGACCATCCTTGCTATGTTCATACAATGCCTAGCACAATGGAAACCTGGCAATAGAGATAATAACGTTAGAATGTTATTGGTCGTAGCCCGCCCCTTTAGACTTCACTCTGCCAGCCAGGGCTGATCCCAGAGCACTGGGGGGGGGGGGCGGCTTGCTCTTTGGAAGATACTCTCTTCACAGGTATGCTGCTGTGTTGAGTTGTCCAGGTGGACTGCAGGGGTAGCAGATCCCATTGCACTAATCAAATCTGGAAGTGACACAGCATGGATGGTGTCGGAAGAGCCACATCAGGGAAGAACAATCACAGCCTGCTGGGCCACGATGACGCAGACGTCTCCGCGCGTGGTAAGGTTGTGCAGTCTTCATGAGAAACATTGAGACTAAAGGAAATTGTTGTCTGCAATGAGTTATCTTTGAAAACTCATGGCAATTGGGGGAGGTCCCGGATGACTGGAAAAAGGCAAATGTAGTGCCCATCTTTAAAAAAAGGGGAAAAGGAGGATCCGGGGAACTACAGGCCAGTGAGCCTCACCTCAGTCCCTTGAAAAATCATGGAGCAGGTCCTCAAGGAATCAATATTGAAGCACTTAGAGGAGAGGAAAGTGATCAGAACAGTCATCATGGATTCACCAAGGGCAAGTCATGCCTGACTAACCTAATTGCCTTCTATGATGAGATAACTGGGGATTGGTCCTGCTTTGAGCAGGGGGTTGGACTAGATGACCTCCTGAGGTCCCTTCCAACCCTGATATTCTATGATTCTATGATAACTGGCTCTGTGGATGAGGGGAAAGCAGTGGACGTGTTATTCCTTGACTTTAGCAAAGTTTTTGACATGGTCTCCCACAGTATTCTTGCCAGCAAGTTAAAGAAGTATGGGCTGGATGAATGGACAATAAGGTGGATAGAAAGCTGCCTAGATTGTCTGGCTCAACGGGTAGTGATCAATGGCTCCATGTCTAGTTGGCAGCCGGTATCAAGCGAAGTGCCCCAAGGGTCAATCCTGGGGCCGGTTTTGTTCAATACCTTAATTAATGATCTGGAGGATGGCGTGGCATCCTTCAGCAAGTTTTCAGATGATAGATGGTAGATATGCTGGAGGGTAAGGATAGGATACAGAGGGACCTAAACAAATTATAAGATTGGGCCAAAAGAAATCTGATGAAGTTCAACAAGGACAAGTGCAGAGTCCTGCACTTAGGACAGAAGAATCCCATGCACTGCTACAGATTAGGGACCGAGTGGCTAGGCAGCAGTTCTGCAGAAAAGGACCTAGAGGTTACAGTGGATGAGAAGCTGGAGATGAGACAACAGTGTGCCCTTGTTGCCAAGAAGGCTAACAGCATTTTGGGCTGTATAAGTAGGAGCATTGCCAGCAGATTGAGGGATGTGATCATTCCCCTCTATTCAGCATTGGTGAGGCCTCATCTGGAGTACTGTGTCCAGTTTTTAGCCCCACACTACAAGAAGGATGTGGAAAAATTGGAAAGAGTCCAGCGGAGGGCAATAAAAATGATTAGAGGACTGGAACACATGACTTATGAGGAGAGGCTGAGGGAACTGGGATTGTTTAGTCTGCAGAAGAGAAGAGTGAGGGGGGATTTGATAGCTGCTTTCAACGACCTGAAAGGGGGGTTCCAAAGAGGATGGAGCTAGGCTGTTCTCAGTGGTAGCAGAACGAGGAATAATGGTCTCAAGTTGCAGTGGGGAAGGTTTAGGTTGGATATTAAGAAAAACTTTTTCACTAGGAGGGTGGTGAAACACTGGAATGCGTTACCTAGGGAGGTGGTGGAATCTCCTTCCTTTGAGGTTTTTAAGGACAGGCTTGACAAAGCCCTGGCTGGGATGATTTAGTTGGGGATTGGTCCTGCTTTGAACAGGGAGTTGGACTAGATGACCTTCTGGGGTCCCTTCCAACCCTGATATCCTATGATTCTAAGGACTGCCAGGTTGGGTCCTTTGTAACATCGGGAAATGTGGATCCCCTGCTTCCTCCACTCCATCCATTACTTAATTAATTTTAGTGAGCAAATACAATGGAAAGGGTCGGTAATGACAAGAAAACAGCCAACCAGCCACAAAATACGTCCACCTATAAAAACCACCGAAGGTACAAGTCTGTGAACTAGGAAGCACATTTCTGAGAGATCACCAGTTTCTTTCTAAGGTTATGGCTGCACTGCACTCAGCGGGTGTGCCTGCAGCTCAAGTAGACTTACCCAGTGTAGCTTCAATCTATCTAGCTTGAGTCCCAGAGCAGTGAAACTGTGGATGGTACAAGCTGCTCTGAAGCAGGAGCTGCCACTGGTTCCCTGCTCTGGGACCCAAGCTAGTCCAGGGCTGTCTATGTGAGCAGCAATCCCAGCCCGGGACTGCTATAGAGACACATCCCCTTAGTCTTGCTGCGATTCAAGAGCCTGTGCCTCTTCGAGTGGCAGAACGGGTTAGCTCTGCCTTGAAGTCGGTGGACTCGAATATAAACAGCAATGCTATTTAGCAGGGAAGTGAAGCGGTCTGGCAGCCCAGCCACTGATACAGCAAAGAAAGCCCAGCAGGAATGCCATTTAATGAAGTCTGCCAGATTACAGTGCTAAGCAGGAAATGAGTGTGATTTAAAGCTATAATATTCCCCCCTTCCTGTCACAATTTTTGTCAAGAGAAATGATTAATTCTGTGGCATTTTCTTTTCCATTACAGGCTCTGATGAGAATGGGAGCGTGTGAGCTGCCCATTACACTTGGTGAAAGGTGGCAGTTTGTCGTGATATTTTCTTCCCCCCTCCACTACTTGACAGTGTTGTTGTTTGGCAGACACACACTAGCCTCTTCTTTTCCACTCTCTAGCTTGTTCGTGGACTCTAATCTAATCTAGCCTGGATTCAGCACAATAGTGTCAGAGGGCCGAATGGCAGAGAGCAAGAACGTTAGAGGAAAGATAAATGCAGCAAGTTAACATAAATCATAATATCCATTGGTCGGCCTTTAAAAAAAAAAAGAGTGTAGCAAGACAGGCTAATTTCACAGTCTAGATCTGTTCTAAAGGCTGGGTTTCAAATGGGACATAGTCCTGATGTAGATTCGTCCATTGTGTTTTTTGCACTTCTTGGAATTGGATGATCACTGGTTTTTAATATGGATGCAAATGTACCAATGCCTGCAGAGAAGGCTCTTCCAGCAATGCCTCTAGCTTCACGGAACACCAATAACGTCAGGGCAAGCTGCTGTTTGCAAACAGGGTACGGGACAATGCACCAAATCCTAGCATGCATTTGGAGTAACAGTGCTTGTGTTCTCACTAGACCAGAGGATTATTACAAATAGATGGGGGGTTCTACAGCAGCGGCATCCATATAAACGTGTAGGCGTATCAAGAGTATCACTGGTTTTTCAGAAGGAACTAGCAGTATTTTAAATATAGTTTGTCAAAATGTGTTGAGATTTTGATGACTTTTTTGAAGAAGTTTTTGACATTTCTTGTGGCAACCTATTGTTCTGTTCCTGACCAGTTTATAGAATCTCTGGAAAAAATTGAACCAATCATACTTTTGATTAAATTAGATAGAAACACTAGGCAGTTTACCTCTAACCTAACTCTCACCTTGCTAATTTTGCCTTAGGGAAAAAAGAGACCACAAAGCAATATTTTGAGGTGTAATGGGCACTACACTAAAGTGTGTTGATAGCCGATTGTCTGTGGATCAGAAACATGCAGAGAAATTGGTCATTCACACTGAAGATTTGGTATAATCTTGTGATTGCTGTGTGCTTTCCTCCCTTTCTTAGTGCATTTTGTCATTTACATGTCTTACTTTATTGTTTTCATGTCCATCATTATCAAGAAAGATGGGCATTAAATTCTTTATCAAGATGTGATTTCACAAGTATGCTCATCTGCCATTAAAGGCAAACATTTGTTTGCTTTGGATTCTGCATCTAGTTCTTGGGAATTCCAGGATCAAGCAAACTACTGCTTTATCCTTTCTGCTCTGTGCCTCATTTGTTTGTGTTGTAGGGAGTTGAGCACCCAAAGCAGATCAAATGAGGTTAACAGGTATTATCTGCATGCGTCAAACCGCACGACCACAAACCCCAAGCAGGGGTAAATGTCTGTTAACTCAGGGTGCACATCACAGTGTACCCTTGGCTGCGCTTTGGAGTCAGCACTGGAGCAGCTAAACCAATTGCCGAGCACTGACTGCTGAGCTGGAGTTGTTCCAGGCCTGTGTTTAGAAAAATCGACACAGTCTTCAGATTCTGGAACCTTCCAGTTCAGGAAACTTATGGCTCTTGATGGTCCCAGCCCTGGATACTTTATACTCTACATATGCAAATGAATGGATGCTCAGCTGGTGAATGCAATTGGCTGCCGAACAACACTCTTTCAGCTTCTTTCTCGGGTCATGCTTTTACTTTTACCCTCAAGTTGTATAGAAAATTCTTGTTATGCAGCTAATTATTAAAAAAAATATGAAACTGTAATAATTGTAAACTGGCTGCATTGTGACTTCAATAAGATTGCACGACC